ATATAAATTTCTCTAACCATTCATTGACCATGATATATGATGAGATAAATCAGTATTGCGGCAACGCTTTTGGAAAGTAGGGCAATTTTTGGAAGATTTCGGGGAAAAAGTTTTAATTTGTTCAGAGGATACGTGATTAAGATCTACCAGATGAGGGAGAGTTTGTCCCATGTGTCTGAAAAGCGGGCTCATCTACTTCTAGGGAGACTTAGTCTAGGGCCCGGTAGAACATTCCCATCATAATATCACCTTCCTGCACTCAGAATATTTTACATCCTTGTGCTATGACTGGACACTGATTTGGTCTTGTGTGAAGTGTGATTTGCTTAATATGACCTGCTCTTCTGAATTTGTTTACAGAAGATCGAAAAGATCATGATAAAGAACAGAAATGCAGAGATAGCAAAAATAAACTTCTTATGAGTCAAGTGGCCTACTACCTGGGCTGCCGGCTGAAGACAGAAGGTAAGCTCTATAGGTTCACTGTCACAAAAGTGCTGAACGATGTCCTACTTGTCTCTGAGAAACCATACTCTCTCTTCTTCAAAGTTAATTTCATCCTTCCCATACTTCTAGGAATATAACAATGGGTATTTTAGCATTTCGTTAAAGACAGAAGACAGAGACCAAAGTATTTATCAACTTTTCCATGTATGCAGTAAGGTGGGTGTGGGACTAGGGTTAATATCCCAGCTATTGATTCCTGACGCAGGCACAGAACCACCTGTTTTTCTCATCAAGAGGCTAAATCATGTTGACAGGAAGCCTCTCTAATATATAGGATCCTTCAGAACTTATAAGCAAGATAAAGGTAGAAGTGTTTTTTTCCAGGTTTCAGGGTGACTGTGTAGCTAAGACAAGTTGACTTTAAGGAGATTGAGAGTGGAGATGAGAAGAGGAAAAGCAGAAAAACAACATCTTCAAATCAATAGGCGAGGCTGTCAGTGACATCCTCAGTCCCGATTAAACCAAGTTGACGTCACCAGTTTCTAACCCATCATGTGTTTGGGTTTCTTCTCCCCAGTCGCTGGCTTTCTGTGTTCTGCCCCAAACATAAGCAAGGTGGCATCTGGCATGCCTCCTTCCAGAAAAAAAGCAGAGGTGAACGTTCCAGAAGGCATTGAGAAATCCTGTTACCAGCAGGAAGAAAACAAACAGAATTTCGGAGCCAGCAAAAATAGACTTCTTCTGAGCCAGGTGGCCTACTTCCTGAACTACCAGGAGAAGACATACAGTAAGTTCTATAGGTTGACCACCACAAAAGTGATCAATGATGTCCTGTGTTGTCTTAAGAGACTAACCACTCTCTTCATCAAAATTAATTTGATCTTTCCCATACTTGTAGAAAATAGAAATGGGTATTTTAACATTTTGCTAAAGATGGAACACAGAGGCCAAAGTATTTAGCAACTTTTCCACATCTGCAGTAAGGTGGGTGTGGGACTGGGGTTACAATCCCAGCTATTGATTTCTGACACAGGCAGAGAACCACCTGTTTTTCTCAGCAAGAGACTGAATCCATGTTTACAGGAATCCTCTCTGTACGGTATAAGATCCTGCAGAGAAGTAGCATCCAGTCTGTTGGTCTAAATGTCTGAGGCTACTGAACTTCCATTCAGTTTTGATTTCTGCTGAGGCCCAGTGGGCAAAGCTGTGTTCTGGGGACACTGGGGGAAACACAGTGATAGCACACAGTACCCGCTGTGGGGAGCTCGAAGGGGACCCTGCTCCTAATAGAACCTGTGATATGTGTATGTGGCACCATGAAGAGCAGGGAGTGCCCTAGTACTGGTGCAGAGAATTGTGGGACAAGTTTGTTTGTCCTCTCCTAAGAGAAAGAAATAGGTTGTAAATGTGAACTGTGACAGGACAGCAACCCTGTCCCTGGACATCAGATCTGTGTCAGGATGGGGGAGACAGCTGCCAAAGTCCAGAGAGAGGCTGCACAAGCCTCCAGTGATGTGGGAGCAGAAGGCCTTTTCAACATTGGGCCTCATCTTGACGGTGAGCCTCCGGATCAGAAATGCATTGCCTGGTGGATCAGAAAACCATGCGAGGGCATTTTGTTAAAGAGAAATCATGAGAGCTTTGAGTAGAACAGGGACCCACACGCAGACGTTCATGTCCCTGTGCACATTGGGCTGACAGTGCTTGCAGAGTGTGAAACGGGAAATATCTGAACAAACACATCTGTACTTGCAGAAAATGATGAAGATGAGGATGAAGACGCTCACGTCGCAGAGGCTGAGCAAATACAGGAGTCACGTGCCCCCAGGTAACGCTGAATAATCAGGAGCAAGTAATGGATGGTAAATTATGGAAAAGATCTAGAATCTCACCCTCTCTGGTGTCTGCCATGGGCCAAAAGCCTCCATTCCCTTGGCCACAATACGTTCAGTTCAACCCAACTTATACGCGGGGTGTGGCAGCTGTTGTGGTTCTTTGTATGTGCCGAGTGCCGTGTCTGAATTATGCAGGGATAAGTGAGTCTCTGTTCTTCTCAGCTCCTTTCTGCCCAGTGTGATGAATACCAGCTGCTCTCTTTCTCTCCGGCTCCCATGGCAGCCATGCTCTGTGGCAGAGAGGAGGATTGCCTGTTTCCTCTCAAAGGGGACCTCCCATTTGCCTTCTGAGACCTCTCTCTTATTCCTCCTGCAAAAACCAGCTGGGCCTTCCTGGGGTCCAATCCTCCTTTGTTTAATCTTCTGTCATCTCTATCCCATCTGGCTTATCACGGAGGTGCAGAAGGTTGATGTCAAGAGAGTCCCTGAAGACTCACTGGAGGAATGTGTCATCACTCGTTCAAATAGCTGTGGCCCTACTGACTCCAGCCAGCCTCACGGAGACACCAGTGAAATCCCATTCAAGGCAGACAACGTCGACTCTGCACTGGCTGTCGAGAGTCCATCATCTCATGATGTAGTGGAGGATGCTCTAATCATTCTTTCAGGTGACCCCTACATTCCTTGTTTTTGGTACCTCTGTCTAGGCTGAGGAAGATCAACTCTGAAGACAGGCTCTATGCACACAAATCGGTTTGAAGAAAAATGTATGATGGGATACTAAACGCAGATATCAGGGAATTTTTATCTCTTCTTCGGCTCATGTCATGCGTTTGTCTCCCAGGCCCAAGTATCAAGTTACCAGACCCCAGGCCGGTGTGACAAACTCATGGTCACCTGAGTGCAGGAGGTGTACAGTAGGTGTCTGTCAGGTCTCCTAGCTTTGAGTCGGTATCTCTCATCACCTGTCATTATGTCATCTGTCCCTGAACGATGTTCATGGAGTTTCCATTTCTTTTTAAGGAAACTGGGAGCCTTGCCTATTTATTTGGCGATATTGTTCCCCAGGTTTGACTGCTCCGAGCGTCGGTCTTGATCTCTTTTGAGTCAGCTTGCTTAGCTGCACAGTCACCTTGAAATCAGGATGAAAACATTTCCTCTTTACCTTGCCGATGTGTTTCCGTGAAGCAAGGCTCAGCCCGGCTCTCCACCGCATCGGTGCAATGGCCAGTCTGATTTTTCTTCGTAGCATCACATACTGTTTGCTGTTGTTGTTGAGATGGAGTCTCCTTTTGTCACTTGACCTGGAGTGCAGTGGCACCATCTTGGCTTGCTGCAATCTCCAGTACACGACTCGAGTGATTTTCCTGCGTCTGCCTCCTGAGTAGTTAGGACCACAGGTGCCCAACACCACACCTAGCTTTTTGTTTTTTTAGTAGAGATGAGGTTTCACCATATTGGACAGGCTGGTCTTGAACTCCTGACCTTAAATTGTTCACCCGCCTTGTTCTTTGAACTCACAGATTTAATTTTTTTGGAGGGGGGGATGGAGTCTCCCTCTGCTATCAGGCTGGAGTTCAGTTGCACGATGTCAGGTCACTGCAACCTCTGCCTCCTGGGTTCAGACGATTGTGCTGCCTCAGCCTCCCGAGTAGCTGAGACTGTAGGCGCGTGCCACCATGCCCAGCTAATTTCTCTGTATTTTTAGTAGAGACAGGCTTTCACCGTGGTAGCCAGGATGGTCCCGACCCCCTGACCTCGTGAAGTGCTCACCTCGGCCTTTCAGAGTACTGGAATTACAGGCGTGAGCCACCATGCCCAGCCCAAAGATTCTTTTTTGTTTGTTTTATGTTTTTTTTAATTCAGGCTCCCTAGAGACTCTCAAAAACTGCCAATGCAACTTAATTGCAAGTCATCACGGCAGGGTATTGGGAAAAATTTTCGATGACCGGTAATTTCGTCTCAGATAAACCTCATTGGCTATGATATTGCCACTGTGCAAAACTTACAGATTCTTTTTCAAGCAAGTGTTGTTAGAATTTACATATTGTCCAGTTTCAAGTACAGATGCCTCTGACCATTCAATGACCTTGCTACCTGGTGAGACAAGTCAGTATTGCAGCAACACTCCCAGAAAATAGTTTGACTAATTTTTTATGATTTTCTGGGGAAAAAAATTGGTTTAACTTTGCATAGACTCGCGGAGAGAATATGGCATTATGGTGTACCCGTACGGGGAGATTTTGGCCTGTGCATCTGGAAAGCAGGCTCGTCTACTCACCAGGCTTCATCCAGGGCACCTTAGAATCTTCCTGTCAGAATTTGTATTCTTGCCCTGAGAACAATTCTGTGCTTGTGCTGTGACTAAACACTGATTTGGTCCTATGTGAAGTGTGATGTGCTTAATGTGATCTGCTTCTCTGAATTCATTTACAGAATGTCAAAGTGATGATGAGGAAGAGGAAGAAAAAGGGCCAGTGTCCCACAGGTAATGCCGTGGAGTTGTGGGCTGTTAGTTCAGTAGTGACACGTGGAGACTGCAGATCCTGGGAAAACGAGGAAGTGATGACTAGAACTCTTTCTTCCATTCACCCAGCTACAAACTGTCCTTGCTGACAATGTTGTGTGTGATTTGCGGCACTTTTATACGTTTTAATTTCTTAGTCTTCCCAAGATAGGATCCTGCCATCAGATGAGCCAGGTGAACTCAGCAAAAAGGGATTTCCTGGTTTCATCTGTTCTCTCCCATGTGTTTAATTCCAGGGAGAGACGCATATATGCTTTCTGCCTATTTCTTGTTAACATGTTTGCTAGGATTTGTGAAGAGAAGAAATTCAAAAAATATACACATGATATCAAAATACTGGAAAATGGAGACCCTAAATACCAAAGATCTGGGTGTCTGAAATGCCTCAAGAGCTCTGTTCACTTGAATGTCGCATGTAAAATTCAGCACAACTTATGCGAGGTAGTTGAAGCCCCGTGTTAGTTCTCGTGCTGCAGTTCATGATGAGAGTTTACAGGGAGTCTGGGTGGCCTGCAGTGGCTCATCGGTCCAAATGCACTGAGCACCTGCTGCTCATTTGTGCTCTGTCCCCAGGGTAGTCACCCTCCGCACTGTATTTAGTAGGATAGTATTTTTTTCCTCTTGAAGGAAAAATGCCTTTGCTTTCTGTGACCACTCCATTCTGACTTCCATCAGATCATCTGGGAGACTTTGTTGTCTAATCTCTGTTGGTTTAATCTTCTGTCATCCTGTCCTGCCTGGCTCACCAGGAATCTGCAGGAGTCTGTGGAGGAGGAAGCCCCCCAGGAGTCCTGGGATGAAGGTTATTCGACTCTCTCAGTTCCTCCTGGCACATCTGCCTTCAGTGAGCCTTACAGGACCAAGTTGCACTCATTAGAGGAGCAGCAGGTCGACTTGGCTCGTGACATAGACAGTGAGTACTCTGTTGTGAAGGCGATAAAGCTCCATTTTGTGTCCCAGATAGACCCCATAGTCTTTGGGCATTGCTCCCCTGGCTGGGCTGAGAGTTGTCATCACTGTGGGCTGAACCTGTGCATCAGTGTAGATTTCGATCACTCTGGATTCCAGTCTGAAGCACGGACATGGGGGGGGGTCAGTGAGCTTTGATCTCTCTCTAGTCTCAGTCCGTGCCTGTCGCACCCTGGACCGACTGTCAGGACATTGAAATCCAAGGCAGGTGTTGCACTCACACCAAGCTATGCAGCGCATGCCCACGAGTTGTCTGTCAGTCTGAATTCAATGTCTCTTGCCAGCTACCAAGTTCCTCATGAGTTTTGTTCCCCAAGCATGTCTGTGAGGTTCTTCCCTGCTTGTACAAACTTGGTGTAACTGTTTGTACAAACTTGGGATAAAAGGATAATTGTCTACCAGAATAGGGACATTTCACCATTGGTTCTGAGACACAAACCAAGGAATCTCTATCATGATTGGCCTTGAGACCTTCTGAAGTCTATCTCTCACATTATCCTGTTCTCATGCTGAGGAGCCTGAGGTCCCCGTGCAGGGATTAGACAGTGGACTGTTATGGGTGTAGGGGAATTGGCTTATTTTGTCTGTCCCTGTCTGAATTTATTGCAGAGATTAAAATAACCAAGAAGAGGAAGAAGACCAAGGCCCACTGTGCCCCAGGTAACTCTGAGCAATTGTGGACAGCTAATTATGTGTTGACACCTGGAGATGCCAGGTCCAGGGAAAACAGAGTGGGCTGACAATATCGATACCGTGTTTCCAACGAAGCCTGAACTATTCCTACTAACACTGCTGTTGGTTTTCATTGCAGTAGACATTTAGGGTTCCATTTCTTCCTCCCCTTGTCATGTACTAACTACCGTAGGTTGACCATTCTTGTTTTTATGATCAGTGTTCGCTGTGTGTCCTGAGGGCACTAACTCAGAGTGTCCTTTTACTCCCTCATCAGTGTGTCACCTGGACGGCTCACTGAGCTTACTTTCTCTCTCTCTCTCTCTTTCTCTTTCATTCTTTTTTACCCTACTCTTGCCCATCCCAACATAGGGCAATAATTTGTTACGTCATTAATGGATCTATGTTGTTTCTTTATTAACCACTTTCTTGTGCTACCCATGAAATCTAGTTGGGGCTCTGCGTGTCTTATTTTCCCTGACTTATTCTTTGGTTTTTCCTCCTTTTCTAGTCTCAGCATGGAACTGGTGGAAGCAGAAGGGCCTGAAGTCTTCCGGTACTCACTGGATATATTGTATTCAACGTATACAGCCGATCCTGAGTTTTATTACACCTGCCAGGATTACACATATGCCATTTTTTTACTTGTGGAAGAGCATGTTCGCTTGACTTTGGACATGGACAGTAGGTTTCTTACTATGATGGTGATAAGACTCCACCTGGTCTCCCGGATAGGGGTCATATTCCCACACTAAGACAACATGTCACCTGGGACTCTGCCGGTGCAGAGTATGAACAACACCATGTTCTTGCTGAAACGCTTAGCCTGAGTTTCATAGCCTGAGGTAATCTCCAGACAACTTCAGAATGTAGAGCAGTGAGCAGCACGACTGACCTGTCTCCTTCAGAGAGCCCATGTCACCTCACATCACATAACTAAAAGGAGAAGAGACATTTTGGGTTGAAAAAGAGTAAAAAGATAATGTAGCTACATTGCTTTAGTTCTTTTGAACCCAAAGCGTCTCCTCACCTTTTTGTTGTTGTCATTGATGGTGGTGACATGGGCTTGTTTGTAGAGGACATGTCAGCTGTCTGGCTCAATGCTCTATACTCTGAAGTTGTCTGAAAATGTCCTCATGATTAAACTCAGCCCAAGTGTTTTTCTGAGAACACTGCCGGGTCAATGCCACCTCACCCATCTGCAGGCAGAGAAGGTTCCATGTGTCCCACACCATGATCGTGGTACCAGGACTATTCCACCATTCGTCTACCACCATGATCGTGGTACCAGGACTGTTCCACCATTTGTCTATCACCACGATAGTGGTACCAGGACTGTTTCACCATTTGTCTATCACCATGATTGTGATGCCAGATCTGTACCTTTCAGAGACACCTTATTTATACTGAACTAATTGGAAAAATGGTTTTTAAAAGTATTCATATCCTGTATTCAAGTGATCATCCCCTAAACATTTTATTATTCATTAATCATCCCTGGCTGTGTCAATTATCATATTTATATCTCTACACTGGAAACTTTCAATTTTTACTGTATCTTTGCTTTTGCTAGTTTCTGTTGTTGAAAAAAAAATTCCCTGCCTGCATTTTCATTTTTGCCAAAGTTAATTTTAATCTATACAATTAAAATTTTTTGTCTTTAAGATAAGACTTAGCACATAAGGCCACAGCAAAACAGAGATTTTGCTAATTTTTAAGCCATTATTAATTTCTGGCTGACAAGAGACCTAGTTTACTTAGTTAGCTGCTAATATCTATCTAAGTGAGCAGCCAGGGAAATGTCTATCAGACTAATGTTATGCAAAGCCCAGGCCATTCTCTTTGAGTCTTTTAAACTATTTCAAAAGAGAGGAGAATAGGTAGATTCCACATATGCGGACAGGAAGGAGAATACACTAAAAGAAACAGACAACTATTTCCCAAAACAGAATAGAAAATTAGATTTAAATAAACATACGCCATTAAAATTCATAACACATTTCCTCATGAAATGTAATCTCTGTAAACTTAGCGACTATGTGAAAGTCAGTTCTTAATATACCACACTACATTGACTGTTGACATTCATAAGAATACGTTTCCAAGTTTATTATTTGAAAAAGCAAATGGACTATACTCTTTTTTTTAATTTTTGCAGTGATCTTTTTAAGATTGAGGATTTCTTTTTCAAAATAAAACCAAAGATCTTAAAGATTGAAAATGACATTAAAATTTATCTTCTCAAAGTGATGATGTTTAACTCAGGCTGTCTTATTCCTGTTTA